TTGCAAAATATGGACAGTTTCCAAAATATGACAAAGAGGCTTCCCCATCAGAGTTGTGTATTTTATATTAACATTAGATCTGCACATTCCACTATGATTTGAAGGCACTAATGATGGCAGCTTTGCTATGACTGATGATCAAAATGTTGGCATAAAATGATATTGGATGCTTATGCTATTAAAAATAGTTTGAATTTTTGCAAGAACTATTAAAATAATTTCCAGTTATTAATTTAATTCAAAATAAACTCTCTCATTAGGGATTTTATAAGTTAGAGCAAAGCCAGCCTGCTCCCTAGCAAAGTAACTTGGCAGCTATTATGATGAGGTGTCCCATGCCAGGCCAGCTTCATTATGTTTTTGTTGGGTTTGACTGCAAATCCTAATTGCAATTGTACCTATTCAGAGCTGGTTAAATCCTTGCTATTCCAGCTTTTCCAAGTAAAAGAAAAGGAAATTCCAAGTCCACTAGAGTGGTACTATGTAACAAGCATCAGACTAGGTTGTAGAGATAACTAGCTAAATAAGACACCACTACTACCTTCAGTGAGCTCAGTGTTGGCTAAGGGGGAAAGGCATGTTACTGTCATGTCCACAGTACCCCCTCCCTTTAGCAAATAGAGTGTCTGGCTAAGATCCATATGCCTAATGGTACTTGATGAATATGTGTTGAATAAATGAGGGAATGAATGAACAAACATATGTGTATAGGTTAAGAATTTGCCAAACAGCCTGTTTTGATCCCAGCTCTGCCACATACTAGCTATGTAAACGTACTACTTTACTTAAACCCCTTGAGCCTTAGTTTCTACATCATAAAATGCTTAGCACCGTGCCTCACATACAGCAAGTACTCAATAAATAATAGTTTAATAATATCGTGTGAAAAGGGCAACAAGGAAAAGAGGGAGTGATTAACTATGGAGATTAGAATCTAAGATTATGTACTATATATGTACATTTAGAAGTACGGAACAATTGTTGGATTTGGGGAATTTTTTTATGCTGAATGAGGATTCTACTTTATTCTCTAAAACCAAGTGGTAGGAAAAATGATCTCTTGAGTCGGTGACTCACATACTTACAGTTCCATAACCAGAGAGAGAGAAAATTATCTGGCTAACTCAAGTTAAAAAATTCTCAGAGAAGGCCCCCTTTGGGTCAGGTCAAAGGCCCTATTTGGGTCAGATCCATCCCTAGACCAATCATCTTAACGTGGTGTGGCAGGCAGAATAATGGCCCCTCAGACATGTCCATGCCCTAATCCCTGGAACCTGTGAATTTTACATGGCAAAAGATAGGATTTGTAGATAGGACTAAAGGTACAGACCTTGCTATGGGGAGATTGTCCTGGGTTATCCAGGTGGGACAATCTAATCATGAGTCCTTGAAAAGCAGAGAACCTATCTTTGCTGTGGTTAGAGAGACATTTGATGACCAGAAGAAGGGTCAGGGTCAAAGAGATGTGACATTGTTAGCTTTGAAGATGTCGGTAGGGGGTCAAGAGCTAGGAATGTGAGAGGTCTGAAATCTGGAAAGGGCAAGGGTATTGACTCTTCCATAGAGGCTCCAGAAAGGAATGCAACCCTGATGATACTATGATTTTAGCCCAGTGAGATCCATGTTGGACTTCTGACCTACAGAGATGTAAGATAATACATTTTTGTTGTTTTAAGCCACTAAGTTTGTGGTAATTTGTTAAAACAACAATAGGAAACTCCTATGCCAGGGAAATAGGGTGGAAACTTAGTTTCAGCTCCTCCCCAGATTCCCTCAACCTCATCTGCCCTGAGGAAGCTTGCTCAGTGAGATCTCCCAACAGCCTCACCCACTGCCCAACCTCCTAATTCACAAGAATACAGGGGTTTGAGATAATGAGGTAGATGATGCAGAGAGAAGCAGAGATAAGAGGTAGAGAGTTCTGATGCTAACTGAGCCCCTGGTTCCAGTTATTTTTTGAGGCCAAGGCCATGTCAGCACTATGGTTATACAAGTTAGTTAATTCCTCTTTTTGAGTTAAATTAGTTAGTTTGAGTTAAATTTCTGTGACTTGAAACTAAACTTTCCTAAATCATAAACCTAAAGTGAGGGAGGGATGGCTGAAGGAGAAGAATTTTTTAAAAAGCCTTTGGAGGGATTTCCCTGGTGGCACAGTAGATAAGACTCTGTGCTCCCAATGCAGGGGACTCAGGTTCAATCCCTGGTCACGGAACTAGACCCCACATGCATGCCGCAACTAAGAGTTCACATGCCACAACTAAGGAGCCCGCGTGCCACAACTAAGACCCAGTGCAACCAAACAAATAAAAAGACTTTGGAGACAGACTCTGATAACAGCTTAACGTGATTTCATAGCAACCCACTCAAAAACACATTATTCTACTTTAGATGAGGAAAGACCTACTAATTGGCTAAGTGGCTTTCCCACAAGCAAGAGTGTTCTGAAATTAAAATGTGAAAATCCAAATAGGTTTGCTTTGTTTGCTTCCAATGAACACATTGCACTTAGTGTGTCCTGCCTTATGTTAAAAGAAGTCATCAAATTAGAGACACTCTTTTTCAAGGCCTCGCCGTTTCCTGTTTCTGCAGCCTCAAACACTTTTCTTTCCTCTGTGAGTGATGAACTCAATGCTCTAGAGTCTAGACAAGTACTGGACAATCCTGCTTTAACCTAAGTGATGGTGGGGGTGACAGGAGGACTTTTGAGCACTGGCCATTTGATCATTCTTCCTTCTCCTAAAAAAAGAGAATTAAAAAGCAGTCCCTATTGTTCCTAAGGCATGTTAATACAAGGCTTTGTATGTTCCATCCCAACAGATATTTTATAATTTAAATGGAAATATATAATGCCATCCAAAATTCATGACATTTCGCTTTTTGAAATATATGTATGCTTGCTCTTTAAATGTTGCCATTAGCAAATTAAAAAACGACTATGTCCTTTGGTGCGACAAATAAAGGAAAAGCAGTTGCATCGTTGTTGCCCCAGGGCACCTTGCCCCTATGAAGCAGTTACTGGTTATGCCCATGGAGCTTCACTGTGAACCCACCCTCTCCTTTTGTCTGCCTTTTCTTCTTGGAAGGAATATAGGCTGCTCAGAGAAAAAGAAGAGAACGAAAGTTCCAGCAATGGAGGGCTGAGAAACAAAGTGGGTAACATCTGACTGTTATATAATATTATCTTTGGTAGAAAATAAAAGGACTTGGAATAAATCTCTTTGGTCTGCTTTCTGTTTTTGGAGTTCTGAAGTTCTTGTCTCATTTTTGTCTCTGAAATTAAAACAAACAAAAGAATTAGAGAGAATGAAATGTTCATAAAACTTGATGCCAAAACACCATTAGTGGACCTTCAGGTCTTAGCTTAGATGACATTTAATTCATTTGTTCAAAAGTATTTATTGAGGGACTCCCCTGGTGGCTCAGTGGTTAGGAATCCACCTGCCAATGCAGGGGACACAGGTTCAATCCCTGGTCCGGGAAGATCTCACATGCCACGGAGAAGCTAAGCCCGTGTGCCACAACTACTGAGCCCACGTGCCACAACTACTGAAGCCCGCACACCTAGAACCCGTGCTCCACAACAAGAGAAGCCACCGCAATGAGAAGCCCGCACACTGCAATGAAGAGTAACCCCCGCTCACCACAACTAGAGAAAGCCCGTGCACAGCAACAAAGACCCAACTCAGTCAAAAATAAATAAATAAAATAAATAAAATTTTTAAAAAAGTATTTATTGAGTGTCTATCATGTGTTCTGTTGAACAAATCAAGCATATTCCCCAGGGCCACTGTGTATGGCTGTGCAGGTTAATGGTACCCAGTGAAGTTGTGCAGGGCACAACTTCCACTACTGGAGGTAGTCCTCACTCTCAAGGAGATTATATCTAGTGACTTCTAGGAAGTCTTGCTTGAACTTTCACTCCCCTCTCAGACTAGAAAAAGCACTCCATAATAAACCCAGTCATAGCACTTTATCCATTCGTCTATAATGGTGTCATCCTCTGTTAGATTGTAAACTCAGAGGGTACTGAGTTTGAGACTATCTTGTTTGTCCCTTTCCAGGGGCTAGGGATGCATCAGTGAATTAAACAGTCAAAAAATCCCTGGCATGTAGGAGCTGATAATCTAGAAGAGAGAGAGAGTAAACAAGTTCAGTATATAGCATGTTAGATGGAGATACACACTATGGAAAAAAATCAAGTAGGGAAGGGGTCTTTCTCCCCCCTTACTTTGGATCTTTGCTCAGATGTCACCTTTTTTTATTTTGAGAGAGGAAACCTTTGGAGGTTCACAGTAGAGGAGAGATACTATCTGTCTAAAAAGAAAAACATTTAGGAATAGAACAGTAAGCACACTTAGCAAACAGCTAGTAAGGCAGTTATCAGCTCTCCATTTTGCCAGGAATCAGGCCACAGTGAATAAAGACTTATATAGAATATAGAGAATGAGGGCCCAGCCCTTCCCCTCTAAAACTCTGACACTTTCAGATTCTTTCTAAACACATTTTTAACAAATATCCTGGAGAACCCTCGTGTTATAACCTGAGCTGGTTTTGCATTGTTGCAAAACAGCACCTCACATCTTTTAGTATCAGCCTACAGACCTTTCGTACGTGCCTAGGGTGTCTGAGGCTATGGAGCTCTTCTTTAAGCCTTTCTAACCCACCCTACTTGAGAAAGTGTCCTTATCAGGAAATGACGTCCTGGACACCAAGAGACTCCGTTATACTTAACACATATTCCTATCCGGAATTTTCACACTGGTTTTGCCTCGAGGATAGGCATAAATCTATCTCTTCCTTCCGACTCTCTGGGCTTCGCTCCCTAATCTTTTGACAGGAGCCAAGGAAGCATCCTCGCCCCAAGACCCCCTCTCTTCTCATAGGCCACTCGCCCGCGCCGCGCAGCCTTCTGGAAGCTGTAGGTCCCAGAGATCCTCCGCGTCAGAACTACAACTCCCGGCAGACTTTGTTTCCCCACACCCCCCTCTTGGCGCATGGCCTGTCGGGAGGGGGCAGGTAGCGGGGGGGGCGGAGTCCAATGGGTGCTGGCTCCCGAGGAGAGGGCGGAGGAGAGGAGGAAGGAGGCGGGCTCTGGGCCGCGGCCCCATTCATTGCCGCGGCCGGCCGGGCGGGGATTCGGTATTTTCCGAGTTATGGAGGCGCTAATTCCTGTAATCAACAAGCTCCAGGACGTATTCAACACGGTGGGCGCCGACATCATCCAGTTGCCTCAGATCGTGGTGGTGGGAACGCAGGTGAGAGACGAGGGTGGCTTCCGTCCAGGCCAGAGCCCGGGGCGCGGGCCTGGACGGGACTGCGGCAGCGCTTGCTCCCAGACTGGCCGTCGCGGCCTGTGGAAGGAGGGCGCTGTTGCGCCTGGGCGCCCGGGGCTGCGTTCCACTGGGGCTGGGAGTCCAGGGCCCGGCCCGGAGGCGAGGGGCGGAGCCGGCGCGGCGGTCCGGCGGGTCCCGGGGGCGGGACGGACGGGCGGGCGGGCCTAACTGGAGTCCGTCGGGACCGGGCGCGGCTTCGACCGCGGGCCGCTGCTTCCAAGGGCGCCTGGGGGACGCGCGGGGCACTAGGGGCCGCACTGGGCGCGCGGGGCGGGTAGCCCCTTCTTGATTGGTTTCAGGGCGGCGGGGTGTTTTATTTCCCTCGTTGCCTTGCTCAGGGGCTGCGGAGTCAGTTTTGGAACTGCGGAGTCGGGGCCGAGAAGGCCGCTACTATGTGCACCTGAGTGTTTTCCTGCAGCGTAATCCAGGTTTCGAGAACGCCGAAGCAGTTAAAAACAAAAAACAAAACAAACCAACTTGTACTTGGAGTTTGTGGGTGTTAGGAGGGGTATCCAATTTTTCTGCGTAGGCTGTGGTTTTTGTCGTCCATCTAAATTGGGCATCAAGGGTCTCTGATCCTTTCATGTTGGCATTTCTTATAGATAACACATTTTTATATGCGGAAATATTGAAGAAATAAATGTTATTTCTAGAAGTGACAGAGAAGTATAAGTTTCATTTTTTCTGCCTGCTGCTTTTCTTGGTTGAAGAGTAATCAACCATAGGCCTTTTTTTTATTAGAGTTCAGAGAAACGCATTTTAGAGATTACTTAGTATATTGATTTTAGGTGCTTTCCTTTTTTAATGATGTTTTCTGTTGGAAAGGGGACGGTTTCCTCACTTTCCACGAGGTTCATCGCTACATCTTGCTACAAAATTGATGTGTAGGGTGTAACTATTTTGAGAGGGAACTTAATGTTAAAAATATAATAGAGTATGTCCAGACACTGGAAACCTTGGAAACCATAGATATCCTAAGGTGGGCGGGAGGGACTTTTCAATAGTTAAAGCAATAGAAATTATTTCAGAAACACATTTCCTTTGTTGGCCATGGGATTGGTATAGATTCTGCCCAATCCTCCCTTAATATTTGTAATGACTAGAGACTCTGGATCATCAACATAATAAATTATGAGAAATATATTTTTTGAGTATATTTTGTTTACTGCTGTGTTCCTATTCCTAGCTCTTGGAACAGTCTGGGGTATGTAGGAGATGCTCCATAAATACTTTGAATGAGTTACTAGATAGTATTTTTAAAACACTGGGGCTTTTATCATCAAAACCGATCTGTTTTTGTAAATAAAATTAGAGGAGATGATATAAATTCAATCTTCTTGGGTAGTAATTTGGAAGTGTTTCCTAGCTGCAGACCAGAAACTTTCCATATACTTTTAAGAGAGTCTCAATGCTTTTTAAGCATGAAGCAGTAAAAGAATCAGAGCTATAGTGTGTCAGTATAAATAGTTTAAAATCAAGAAGGTTTTTTTCTTACATGAAATAGAATTTATTTCAGTGAGTACACCTGTTCGCAAAATTGGGGAGGGGACAGGGTAGAAAAGTAAAGATTTCACCATTGTGAAAGCCATTAACATATGCCAGCAAAAACCATCCTAGTAGTGATAATTATATGCCACTTTTGCATGTTGATGTTTGGAATTACTCTGAAGGGAAATATTCAGTTTTTAGACTTGATTTAATGAGGGTTATCTCCATTCGTGTCCTTATTAGCTGAAATTCAGTCCTTTATTATTCAGGTACAGAAGAAATAAATAAGAATAGAAGCAATGTCTTTTCTCCCATAGTTTCCTCAATATGTTGGAAAAAAACCTCTTCTTGATTTGAGTACAAGTACACCACTACTTTGTCATCTAGGCTAGTTAATGTTGTGTAACATGTATATATACAGCACCTCACATTCATATTTAATGGAGTAGTGTACAGTGAGTGAGTTCCAGATGTAGTAAATGTTCTGTACGTAGTTCAACTGGTAAATTTCTCAGTGGCAGTGATCATGTCTCTGTCTTACGCTTTACCTGTACTTTACATGGCTACAGGTCGCATTTTGGGGAACTTTTTATAACAGTGATTCTCAAACTTGGGTGTATATAAGAATTACTTTGAAAATAAGTTTCCTGGACCCCATCCGCAAAGATTTTGATTTTATAAGTCTGGGGTGCTCCAGGCACCATAGCCGATTCTGATGCAGATGGTTCATAGATGTATATAGTATATTAGTGAGTCTTTGATTTTATAGCGCATGAAACTGGAAAAAGCAGGGAAGCCTAGTCTAAGGGCATACTGCTGTTAAGTAGTAGGTTGGTTTTGGTGGCATTCTTGCTCCAAAGTATCAACTTCCAGGCAACCTTTGCTGACCCCTAAATATTTTAAACTTTGATTTCTTAAATTGCCTAAATAATACTGTTTTGGGGCCCAGAGAGTTGGAGTAGTTGAGGAGAGAGATGTTTACAGCTGTCGATCATTCACAGTTTTTATGATTTAGCTGAATAAATTGCTTTCCTTTTTCTCTAGCCGAGATCCTCTGTGTGGAAAGAACAGAAATGGGGAGAGAGAAGGTTGATACTTTTAGACCTTGGTGTACTTTGCAGGTGGAGAAGGAGATAAGATTTCAATGACATTTGTGACTCAACTTGGGAAATTTAATCACTGTTTCTTAAGTTGAGAATTGGAAGGGGGAGCCCTCCAGGTATGTAATCCAAACCACAACCTAACATAGGAATCTCAATACAGATGACATTAACCTGAGACTCTGGCTCAGTGCTGCTAGTATTGTGCTTTTTTTTTTTTTAATTTGTTTATTTTATTTATTTTATTTTTGGCTGCACTGGGTCTTTGTTGCTGTGCGCGGGCTTTTCTCTATTTGAGGTAAGTGGGGGCTACTCTTCGTTGTGGTGCTTGGGCTTCTCATTGCGGTGGCTTCTCTTGTTGCAGGGCACAGGCTCTAGGCGTGCGGGCTCAGTAGTTGTGGCTTGTGGGCTCTAGAGCTCAGCCTCAGTAGTTGTGGCGCACGGGCTTAGTTGCTTCATGGCATGTGGGATCTTCCCAGACTAGGGCTTGAACCTGTGTCCCCTGCATTGGCAGGCGGATTCTTAACCACTGTGCCACCAGGGAAGCCCTGTGCTTTTCACTTTGCCTTTTATTTTGGTAATTTCAGCACTCTACTTTCAGTAATTCAGACAAATACAGAAGGAAAAGGAATCTTGGATTTTAAATGACCAATCTGCAAACCAACTGTTCAAATTTAACATTTAAAAAATTATAATTAATATAACATAAACCCTAACATTATAAAGTGTTCAATTCAGTGGTTTTTAGCATATTCACAAGGTTATGCAACCATTGCCACTATCTAATTCCAGAGCGTTTTCATTACCCCAGAAAGAAACTCTGTATCCATTAGAAGTCACTCCCCATTTTACGCCCCCCCGCCACCGCTCCTCTCGCCTGGCAACCACTGATTTCTGTCTCTATGGATTTGCCTATTCTGGACATTTCATATAAATGGAATCATACAATATGTGGCCTTTTGTGTCTGGCTACTTTTGCTCTGTTTTTTAGGATCATCCATGTTGTAGCATGTATTAATACTTCATTACTTTTTATGGATGAATAATATTCCCTTGTATAGATATGCCACAGTTTGTTTATCCATTCATTAGTTGATGGACATTTGGGTTATTTCCACTTTTTAGCTATATTGAATGATGCTGTCATGAACATTCGTTAACAAGTTTTTGTGTGAACATATGTTTTCAATTCTCTTGGATACGTATAGTTGACACTTGAGCAACATAGGTTTGAACTGCGCAGGTCCACTTACATGCAGATTTTTTTTTATATGCAGATACTACAGTACTACCCACTTATATGAAGATTGTTTTCAATGAATACTGCACTACTACATGATCTGTGGTTGGTTGAATCTGTGGATGTGGAACTGTGGCTCCAGAGGGCCAACTGTATAATTATATGCAGATTTTTGACCACCCTGGAGTCAGTGCCTCTAACCACCTATGCTGTTCAGGGGTCATCTGTACCTAGGAGTAGAATTGCTGGTTCATTTGGTAACTCTTATTTAACTTTTTAAAGAACTGCACACTTTTCCACAGTGGCTGCACCATCTTACAAACCTTTATCTGGTATATGAGGGTTTCAGTTTCTATACACCCTCACCAACTCTTGTTATTGTCTTTTTTAGAAAGTGCTAAATCATTCTGGAATTCTTTATTTTAAAAAAAGCCCCCCCCCCCACATCCCCTCCTCCTGCATTCTGCAGCACTGTTATCTACATTTTATTAGCTCCTTCTGAAATCTTGCTCTCTCCTGCCTGATATGCCTACATTTGTCTTGTGTTTGTAGAGGTGATGGCTTCATTAAGTTTAGCAATTTGGTGCCAAATATTGATCTTAGTTTCATTCCTTCAGTGTTTTCTTGTGAGTGCTCTTAAGTAAACTTATGTTTTTCCCTTTCCTTTTCTTTTTTACTAGTTTTCTCTGTGTAGATCATGTGCTTCTTACTTAAAAAAAAATTTTTTTAAAGCATTGAAGTGAAACTTATATAACATAAAAATTAGTCATTTTAAAGGGTACAATCCCGTGGCATTTAGTACATTCATAATGTTGTGCAACCACCACCTCTTTCTAGGTCCAAAACATTTTCATCACCCCAAAAGAAAACTCTGTATCCATTAAGCAGTCATTTTGTAATTCTCCTTTCCCCCCCCCAGTCCCTGGCAACCACCAATCTTCTTTCCTTCTTTATAGATTTACCTATTCTGGATATTTTACAGAAACAGAATCACACAGTATGTGGCCATTTATGTTTGACTTCTTTCACTTAGTATAACATGGTTCATTCATATTGTAGCATGTATCAGTACTTCCTTTTAATTGCTGACTAAT